AAGCTATTCTAAAAGACATTTGAACATTTGGGGTTTAATGCCCAAATATGATGATTAATTAGCTCTTTCTGATTTTTATATAGTGTGAAACAGAAGCAATAGCAGGCAGTTTATTTTACTCTAAAGAAACAAATGCAGAAAATCTTTCTCTGTCTTGGTTTTCACTTTTAGAAATGGCACAGTGGGTGGGATGCTCTGGCAGATAAACAGCACAGAAAAATGATAAGATTACCTGACCGTCCGTCTCTCTGGAAGTCCACGTGATACCATTCTCCATCATTCACTTTCTTCAACAGGGCTTTTATTTTTATAGTACCTGACCCCATGTCCAGGAGGAGGTAGAGGTGGCCGTCTAGCATCTCAATAGCAAAGAAGTCCACCTTGATCATCTGTGGGTGCTTGGCATCCTTCTGATGTCTTGGTTTGCCATGGCTGAATAAGATGAGGCCATTTGGCTCTGTTGTACGGAAATCAAATGATATGGAGCCTGTTTTCTTTGCATTCCATTTAGGCAAAGAGATGAAAGACTCTGGGGTTTCAAAGGTGATTGGGTCTAAAGTTGCAACATTCTCACATTTAAATGCCACCACTCCATGGATCTTCATCTTAGGATCTCCTTGCTTGGCAAGTCGAGATAATTCCAGCCTCACATCATTATTTTTATACACAACCTGTGAGCAGAGGATAGCAGTAAGAAACTAGCCTCCAAATTTTAATATCTGAAAACTTGTCATCAGCTCATGTAACTTGCAAGGACATCATAAAAAGGCACACAAAATTTAGTTAATTCTGCTGTATAAAGGCAGCATTTTTCAGTCAAATAAAATTTATGTGTCAATTCATAGAATAATCATAATTTAATTCTAGTAATGTGTGTGCAGATGAACACATGCATGTGCATATACACACAGACACTGCTTGTATTTAACTCAAATAATTTAAAAATCTACATATATCTTGAATTTCATGTGTAAATCAACATGTTAAGACTTGAACTTATAAAACCTTTTTGTTTTGTTAGCTGTCTATGATGCTTTTAAAATTAAATATAAGCATTAAGGTCATTCAGTTTTCCCATTATTAAAGTATTTGAAATTGGATACTATTATAGATCAGTCTACTAAAATATTGGATCTCTTCTATTATCGATATAGCTACTATGAATATTAACTTTGCAAGATAGTCACAACAAATTACAGTACAAAACAGCCTGATATCTCTCCAAATACAACTAAGATACAGGAGATCCCTACCCTGCATCAATAACTTTGAATACTATTAAGAAATGTGGCACTGCTACATGTAGAATACGGTGCTTCCTCTCAATCTATTCAATCTGTGTTACTGGTGATCAATTTCACTTTTAATTTACACAGACTCTGAGCTGTTGTCTTGTACTCTCATTTTCCAAGGCACTTCAGTAAAAGAGGCTGGGCACTTCTGATTGCTTGCTGATGGTCCTAGGGCTTTTTGGACTTCAATTAACACCATGGGTGAATTCACCGACAGGGTTCACAGTGTCATACTTTTGCTATCACATCACTTTATTTTCTTATATTTTATTTTTATTTTTTATCATACTTTAGGTTCTGGGGTAAAATGTGCAGACCATGCAGGATTGTTGCATAGGTACATACATGGCAAAGTGATTTGCTGCCCTCATCCCCCCGTGACCTGTATCTGGCATTTCTCCCCATGTTATCCCTCCCCATCCTCCCCACCCCCAGCTATCCCTCCCCTATTCCCCTTCAACAGACCCCAGTGTGTGATGCTCCTCTCCCTGTGTCCATGTGCTCTCATTGTTCAACACCCGCCTATGAGTGAGAACATGCAGTGTTTGATTTTCTGTTCTTGAACAGAAAATCACATCACTTTAATAAATTCATAGATATTTTTGACATAAGGATAAAGAAAGAAGGATAGCTTTTCTCTACAAAATGCATACAGTGGATAATCATATTTCAGAAATACATAGACCATACAGACTTAAGAGTGAATTAGTTATCTAGGGCCACATATATATCTAGGTTATTTTAAGAAGAACATATATATAGATATATATATATATATATTCTCATATAAAATGTATATATGTATATTTTTTAATATTTTATATATATATATAGAGAGAGAGAGAGAGAAAAAAATAAGACAGCCTATATCTGCTTAGTGTGTTATGAATCAACCAAGTCAATGCAGCCGTTATTACAAACCCATGGCCAACTAAACCAACAGATGCCTGTTGAGTTTCCTGACAGGACTTGTTAATGGATACTTTATTTTTCCAAGTAATTAAGAGTACATGCTTGGGTATTGGACTTCCTGAGTTCAAATTCTGACTCCAGAATTAGTGAACTTGGAAATCTGTGTAAGCCTGTTTTACTTCTTTAAAGGGAAATGATACTTCACATAATGGTTATAATAATTAAATAACACATGTAAGTGGGAAAATCTACATAAAGGCATTCATTCTAATACCAAGTACACTGTAAGATTTCAATAAATATTAACTACATAAAATATATGATAATAAAAATCACCCCTTTACCATCATTTAATAGGTACAGATTTTAGTTCTAAATTTATCCATGATAAGAAAACATTTAGAAATTAAGTCCACATATATAACTGGCTTTTATACATCATTTGTGCCAACTATGTAAGTCACATCTTTTCAATGTTGGGCCTGGTGTTTCAGTTTACCTTTATCTTGAAGGAGTATTATAATAAAGAACATGATATCACTTATTCTTTAAACAAATATGTACAATGGTTTAACAAACATCTATTGACAACAAAAGAAGAGAAAATGAACTTGAACAATAACAAAAAGGAATTACATTAATTCTTAAGAAGACTTTTTTGGAAAGAGAAAGATCTATTAAGTCTTAGAAAAATTTATTTAGGATTGCCTTTCTTTAGAGATCTTTAGAGGCAGAGAAAATGCATTTCAAGGATGACTTTCCAAGTTTTATCACTTCTCATTATGACTTTCGTGCTACTCAAACCTATATTATTTTTCCTTTTTCCTATTGATTTATATTCTAGTGTGTGGACATTCTTTTGACATAGATACTGATTAAGAATAAGTATTTTCAGACCCAAATGATGCTTCTGTTGATCAATGCCAACACTCATTCCTAGAATAGAACTACTGTAATAGAATTGAGTGTTTCTGACATTAACAAGTGGGTTTTAGCCCTGGTATATTGTTTCTTGAATCTGATATCAGAGACCATAAATTTGAAGAATGAGGAATAGTTAAGTCTGGGAAAGGATTTCAATGAGACATAATCTTATAAGTGAATCAGGTGTCTTCGTGATGAAAAAGTTTAGGAAGATATATATATATATAAAAGAAGGGATAATTCCCCGGGTAAAATTTCTTAAGGTTAGCCATGCATCTCAATAAATAAATAAATCTCCACCAGAATCAATGCTTTATACTGGCAAGAACCACAGCCCAGCTCAAGATCAGTGTCTGGCATAGAGTAGACGCTCCATAATTATTTGTTGATTGTTGAATAAAATTCTTCCTTCACTTTTTGAAACCTAGTTCCCAGATTATAGGCTTTTATAAATAATAATATTTAGATCTACAATTAAAATACAACAGAATATAGTATTGTGGCGCAATCTCATAAACTAATTACGATTTTGCCCTATTTCTCTAGGAAAAAGCATAAATATGTGCATATCCAGTTTATAATTGACAAGTTGGCTGGGGAATTTTCATCTTCAAACACATTTTGTGGGGGTATAAATTCCTTTTAGAATGAAGAATGCCTCAGTTAAAACTCTCCAGAGGATCATACACAAAAATGTACACTGTGCTTCTCCTCAAGATAGTTCTTGTAGGAAAGAACTATCTCCAGATACAAGAACACTTTCCTACAAGAACTATCTTGAAGAGAAGCACAGTTGTATATATTTTGTCTTCCCATTTTGTACTCTTTGAAAAGCTATTCTGGAAAACAGAAAAGCAATTTTGGATAGGTAGGCTTATGGCTCTCAGATTTATACTATTAATTCATCTGACCTAGATTTTATAATTATCCTACTTTTCTAAAGTTGGACCTACTCTTAAAATGAACTGAATCTAGTTCAATTAGAATAATGAGTAGCTAGTAAGTACTCTAAATCTTCTAAAATTTCATGTGTAAGCTATTTTTGCTTCTTTCTGAAACAATGTGACACTCAATCATGGGAGCACCTTATAATTATTCATACATATTTTATTCTCATGCCAAAAGTTGCAATTTACATGTTTCACTTTTGAGCAAATTTCTGTTTACTTTATCACCATAACAATTGATGGTATTTGGGCACACTCATTTGTATCTGCTTATAGAATCAAGGTTTATTTTGGGTTTATTTTCTTTTTTTTAAGAGCGATTCAAAATGTTGAATTTTACTTCCTTGCTTCATGGGTTTCTTTTCCCTTTCCTGAAGCAGTTGTAAGAATTTTTAAAATGTCCTTCCCATGTTAACATGAAAAAATAGGGAGTAATATGTTTGCGTTTTCATATTTTTAGGGTTGACCTTTGAGGAAGACAATCATTGAGTATTATCCTTCATCTTAATGATACTCCTGAAAACATGACAGCAATGAAGAGAAAATAAATAGCTTAAAGAATAGTAGCTTAATAGTCTGTACATAAACTTGGTTCAATCTCAAAGCTATTATCTAAGCCAAGTTGCCTAAACTCTCTCTGTCTCAGTTTCTGAATTTTGGAAACTGATATCTATAAAGAAAATGCATGTCATATCTACAAATTCTTGGGCTTCCCCCTCTTACTCTGTGTGATGTGGGAAAGACATAAAGGATGCTCTACTCTTCCTGCTCTTTTTCTGGCATTTTCCAGTTGTGATTTTTGATGCCAGGATATTATTCTCTACTTTCAGATCTACTGAAATGTTAATTCGTTAGTAAAGAGAATGTTCACTGCATCTTCAGGTACACAGACACGCCTCAAGGATTACATCTATCTAAGGTTTGTACAGATGGTGTTGAAGCACTGGTAGCTGAGAGATAAGGCTCTTTCCACAGAGAGTGGGAGTATGTGAAATTTGGTGTGAAAATATTTGCCACTCAAATAATGACTTTTTAAAATAAATATATGCTTTGGCTTAGAAATTACAATGAAGGTCTTAACTTCATTAACATGCATGATGAAGACTTTTCATTCCTTAACTATGATAATATGCAGGATGGTGAAATAAGCACCAAAGTTAAAGTGTTGCTTAGATATTTAGACTTTGCTATGACCCTCCCTAAGAGAACATGAATGGCTCATATTTTAATTTATCTTGGTTTTCACTTTCATACTTGGGAATAATTAATGAGTTTGAGGCCTAACAATCTGGCTTGCATGTCAAATTTCAGAGAGAATTCCAGCTCACCCATTTGCAAACCTGTGACCTTGTGCAAGTTCCTCAACCTTGACAAGTCTCAGTGTTTTATCCATAAAGGAGAATGATATCTACCACATTAGGGTTGCTGTAATAATAAATTATATTTTAGTTAAAGTGTTAATGGGTCCTAGCATGAGAAAGTGCTTAAGTAAATATTCATTGCTTTTATTACTGTTATTATTATAAATAACTTTTTTTAATTCTTACACTGAATTGATGGAGCTACACAATTTAACTGTCATAACAAAGGTAACAG